TCAAAACAAAGCTGAATTTTCGCTTCCATCCATGCAATGACTCCAAATCAAATCCCAACAGATCTACTATTTGCACCAGGATATTTTTGAGGTCTTCTTAAAAGAACGTCTGCTGTGCGTTAAGGGATAACATGCTTACAGCTCTGAGGCTCTTGCATTTACTCCTGGCGCTACGAAATGCCTGCTGGATGGCCATACCTAAGCTCACTTTACTTTCAGAACAGCATCGCTTTTTCACAGGCAAAACAAGAATAAAAACACATAAAGTTGGCAGAGATCTACTGAGGGAAAAGTGCACCAGAAAAAAATAAGCACCACTGAAGCCTCCCATGAGCTGCGGGAGGCTCAGCATACAAGACAAAATTTTATTAACTGCCCTGTCATCTGTGCCTCTTGATCCAGAGCCTAAATATCAGCAGAACTGCCAAGAGAAACACAGGCATCATGAAAGAGGATTCACTGAAAGGATCTGCTTTAAAGGCCCCAGAGATGCCTCCCCTGCCATCATCTCTAATAGCGCCCGTTCCTCTCCGCTTTGTAATTGCCAGCAGATATCCAAACCGAAGTCCACAAATTCCCGGCAGCAGCAGCACGCGCTTATTTGTCTGCGCTGCTCTTTTCCAGTAAAAAGAAACTACAGAGCAGAATTTCTTGGCAGACTGCAGGCTCTGCAGGAGGACTCATTTGGTTCAATGCAACCACATTTGCTTCACCACGTTCACAGCTGCTAGCTGAGAATACATGTCGAGTAAAGTGCCTTTTTCATCATCCAGCACCACACTGACCTTATTAACAGCTTTTAATTATTAAGATCCCGATACCTGCAGTTTCAATAGAGGATTTAGACAAGGGGAACTCCTGCCTGATATTAAACAACAGTGTATTTCCCAGCAGAAATGAGTGTCTAATTGGTTTTCTATGGTTATTCTATGGTTGATTAGTCCAACATACATGTGGGAATCTGTCCCCTCTGGGATGTCTAAACACCACCTGTCATCAATGAATTAACTAGAGCCAAAGGCACCTTTAACCCCTTCAAACGATGCTCGCGGCAGAGAAGGGTTTTTATCCCAGTGCATCCCCAGCAGTGACAGCAACTGGACCAAGCAGGAGATGGTAACGGAGAGCCCTTCCCAACAGCCAAATGGGAACAAAACTGCTGCCAGGTCTAGCACAAGGGCTCAGCTCGATCCCCTGCCCTCCAGCTCCGCTGCAGCTCGCGGTGCTCATGGAACATGAACCGCGTGTGCGCGGGGGGAACAGAAGGAGCCTCCGCTCCGCGTGCCCTACAGCCAGGGATGCTCCATCCCCGGCCCTCGCGCTCCTTCCAACGTCTCTCCAGCAAGGGGAGAGCTCCAAGCTCAGCACCTGCTGCTCCCTCCCAGCCCGGGAAGGGTTTTTGTGTCTTGCAAACAAGGCTCATTATCAGCACGGCTAATTCCGTGCCCCCAGCAGCAGCAGAGAGAGCAGCCCCCTCAGCGCACACCTCTGATCGCAGGGAAAGGGCTTGTCAACACCACGGACGTCACTAAAACCACGTCTGGCCTTAAAAGACACTGAATTGGTTCTACTCCTAGCAGGAAAGAAGGTGCTTTAAGACGCAGATAGTTGAGCTCTGCCCGGGCAGCAAAAATTTGGCCAAAGATACCAAAATAGCCTCAGTTAAATCAGATGTCTTCAGGATGCCACTGCCAAGTCCTTGCAAAGTAACAGAAAAGAATTTCACGACTGGGTGCAGTGTAACCATGTAAGGGCAACTCTGTCCATCCTGTACAGTACAAGTACAGTTCATTCCCTTTCATGGCTCTAGGAGATCTGAACTATTCCTGTCGCAGGAAAACAAAGGACATTTTACATCACAATACTAGAAAATGCAGCCCAAAATTCATTTTTAAAGGGACACATGTTCTCCCTTGCTAGGGTCCTGCAGGAAGTTCTATAAAATCTAGTGCTCCACGATCTTTTTCCCCATGGAAGGTGTGAACTTCAGGACACCTATGCCGCAGGACCAGCTCATTTCCAGCTGAACCATGGTTCAGGACGGAGCATCACAACATTTCACAGCCTTGTTCTCACAAAAAAAATCAGTGTTTTGTCCAATTTTCTGAACTTCCAGTAACAAGTCAGCTGTCAGCATTACATAGCAGAGAAAAAGGTTTAACTTAGAGCATAATTCTTACATATATACAATTAAGAGAAGAGGGTAAACTTCACTCAATTTAGTCCTATTCCAACGGACTTCGTTTTCCTAAAAAGAGACTTGAGGGACCTCTAGTTCATCTTGAGCTTTTAGCTTGTTTGTTTTGCATTATGGGGGAATTCCACTGAAATCCACATGGATGAACAAGAGTCTCAAAGGATTAGAAACAAGTCAACAATATTTAAACATTTCAGTAAACCAGGCATTTATCAGCAGTAAACAGTTACTGGTTGGATTTAAAGTTCTACTCTTGACGCTGAGACAGAAGCAGCTATTTTAAGCTATGTCAGTCACTTCTGATCAAGTCCAATTAAAAGTTATCTTTTACTGTGCACAAAAGAAAGTAATGAGGACTGGACGCAAGCCAAGCCTAACTCTCTCCAGTGTGGAGACAGGATTTGTTTTTCCAGAAAGTGTTTTCTAAGATTTATCTACTGAAAAAAAAAAATTATTTCCAGGAGAATCACAAATAACAGTCTCATTTTCTTTTGGATGGACTTTGTTGAAATACAGTAAGTCTAAAAAGGGGGCTTTTTTTTTTTTTTTTTTTTTTTTTTTTTTTTTAAAGAGGTCTTTTTTGAAATACAGTAAGTTTAAAAAGGGGGGTTTTTTTTTTTTTTTTTTTTTTTTTTTTTTTTAAGAAGGTGCTTCTTTTGCATCAGGAATTCAACATGAAGCCTTTTTTGGTCTTTTCAACCAAGTTCCTGCTTACTTGAAGCATAGGGAGTTTATTTATCTTTTTAAGTTCTAGCAGCTTGGAGAAGGGCTAAAAAATGTAAATGTTATCAGTGGGAAGACAGAATGTGCAACCAAGCACATTTTCGTTCCTAGCTAAACTGAAAAAAAGGATCGTAGCCTGCTGATTTCAGCCATCTCTGCTAAAGCTGCACCTGCAACAAAGGTTTATCCACGTCCTTCAGCATATCCATACGGTAGCAAAGTCATGAAATCCTACTTCACTTTTTGAATAAAAAAAAAACAATTTTAAAAATATACTTTTTAGTGCCATTAAACATTATTAAAACCTGTGTACTATGCCTAGTTCAACAGATATCTATGGAGTCTCAAAAGTGTAGGAGTTATCTTCCAGCATATGTTACCCTTCAAAATATGTAAGAATTAGACAAATATACTGTATATAGGACTAATTTACCCTCTTCCTTAGTTTGGAGGGGGTAATAGGCCTATTTCACACTGCTCAGAGAAGTCCGAGATTGAAGTTTCTCACACCCACACGAATCCACAGCAACTCGCAAACAGGACAGAAATGGAGTTATCTGGTGAGCAGCTCTAGGTGGGGACGGCTCACGGCACAGACAGGAAAGCGGCGGCGCAACCGTTTCCATCACGGGAGGAAGCCACAGGACGGGGTGAAGCCGGCGCACACGTTTCAGTGGAGATAACCGCAGAACATCGTCCCATGGGGCCACATCATGGCCCAGCAAGCACTGAAAGGCTCTGCACTACCAGAATCTTGTGGAATGAAACAGCACAGAGTGAAAATTGTACAAGCTGAATCTAACTTTTTTTAGCAATTTTTCAAAACACACAATGAGGACTCAGTCTGAGGAACTGAGCAAGTTCAGAGATTGTAGAATACAGTATCGCAAGATCAGGATGGTGAGAAGTTCTATAAACCTAATTTTCAGAGTTCCTCTAGAATCTCAGCATTGCAGAATTAGCAGTATCTGCATCTGTAATTTAAAAGCTGAAGTTAATGCCTGACAGATTTAGCAAAGCTGGCATTTTCTCAAGAGTGGCAGTGCAGTCTGAGCAAACAAATGCTAATTTTCCTTTCACAATGACTCTTTCATGACCTTTAACTTCAAATTTTTATCACCGATGAACTACCTAGCACCGATTTACTACCCAGTAAAACCAAACACCTGAAGTACAGCAGGGAAAATTCGGAAGCAACCCTTTCCAGCTATGATGCAGGAGCTTTGGTGTGCATTATGCTAGTAGTGGTGGCAATTAGCCAGGGACAGGGACCTGGCAGATAAGGAGAGGCAGAGTCAGCAGATGTAGCTTCGTTCAAACCATCTGCCCCCTCCCTGCATTCTGCATGTAAGATAACTAAAAATAACACATCATGCAGCAAAAAAATTATCTAGCCATTAAGAGCTATCAAGCTATTTATTAAAATATCAAATTTATTTCTCATTTATATTATTTACCTACTTTCAGCATTGAGGTCAAAAAATAAAGTAGTAAAGCCTTCAAGTCTCTCTCACATGGCAACGGGTCTACCAGCATGCCAAGAGCCATTTCTGATAAAACCATTCATGGTTTTAATAATTCCCTCAGAACCTGTACATCAACAGCAGAATACATGCTGTAAGCCTCTGTCAAAGAGAAAAAAGAAAAGCTGAACACCGACAGCATAGCCAAAACAACCCTGTTATGGGCCATATTCTGTGCAAGTTTCCAGTGAAATAGTGAGCCAAATTAAGACTACAGCATTGCAAAATGTGCCATTACAGATCAGAAAAAGGAGACTAGCTACACGTGCACAGCTTATCAAACCTAGGAATAAGAAATAAATAAATAATAAAGCAGCAAAGAAACAGTGAAAGTTTTTCTTTCTGAAGAAAAACAAAGACACCGAACAGTGTCTTTCGCTGAAGACAGAGAAATAGACTGGTTATGATCAGAAATAAAAACACAGCACAAGATAGAGTGGAACTGTTTATTTTACATCAGATGTTCCATACCAGAGGTTCTTCAGTCAGAAATTCCTAAAAAAAGAAATTCAATAAAATCTGTTACAGAGTCACATACTTCAAGAGTTTGAGTAAATGTTTTTGACCAACCGTATAAGCATCCTATAAATACACTGTATACATTTTCATCCTAGAACTTAACTTTGGGTATGGAAATCATTCTTGCAAATGTTATCAAAGACGAGATAAACATACGTACTTGGAAACAATTCCATCATTTTTTGCCAGGCGCAGAATAGAGTCATCCGATTCCCCCTTTAATAAAAAAGATAATTCTGAAGAAGCCACATTAAAAAGAGAAGTAAAATCATTGCATTTTATACGTGCAGATTAGCATTTTTAAAACAAGCTGTTAAGTTCTCTGTCATCCTGCAGAAAAATAAATAATTTTAGCTTGATAGACTATATGCTTGTACTAACAAGATGCATTTCTGAGTAAACAGGCTTCTGATGAACTCTGGAAAACTTCACATCATGATTGCTTAATGCTAATTTAATTTATGATGGCAAGAGATTAAAAAAAAAACACAGATATCGGTACATTTGCAAAGGGAAATTTCCACTTTTATCTTATGTACATATGTGTTTATACATACGTAATTCTCCAAAGTAAACAAGTGGGAAAAGAATACAGAGGAAACTGATTCTGCAAGCAAATTTGTTTGTGCTTTCAATATGCCTTTATCTCATGAATGTTCCTTCAGGGCATTCTATCTATCAGAAGAGTTTCCCCATGAATGTTCCTTCAGGGCATTCTATCAGAAGAGTTTCTGTGTCCTTCTGTCATTCTGCACATGCAAAACCTGCATCCACAGAACGGCTAAGGGGCATCAAAGGGGGCACTATCGCTTCCTACCTCAAGGAGGTACCTACCATCCTACGAATCGCTCCGCAAATGGCGTAAGTTTTGAACTGGCCGTTGACTCTGCCTGTTACCTTGTCAACCTGTAATTACAAGCAAGTTACTCCATACAAACAAATTCTTACACAATTCCTGGAAAATTTTATCACACTTGCAAAGCAAAGATGGAAGTTACTTGTTTTTTTAA